CCATTCAGTCTTTCCTTCCTTCCTTCCCTCCTTTTTTTTTTTTTTGTGCTAGGCAAGCATTCTCCCACTGGAGCTACCCCCAGCCGCCCTTTATTTCTGAAGAATGCATGCTAATTAATTACTTGTAGAATGTTCCTCACTTTAGGTTTGTCTACACCTCATTATTAGGTTTAGGGCATGTATTTTAGTTTACTTATTCATTTTTGGTGCTGAGGATTGAACCCAGCACATTGCTAAGCACATGTTCTGCCACCGCCAGCCCAAGGGAGTCCATTTTTGACAAGAATACTACAGAAGCTGGGTGCCTGTGGCTCACGTCTGTAATCATAGCTACTGAGGAGGCAGAAATCAGGAAGACTGATGTTTGAAGCCAGCTGATGGAAATAGTTCATGAGATCCTATTTTGAAGAATACCCCTCTCCCCCCCAAAAAAGAAAGGATTGGCAGAGTGGTTCAGGTGGTAGAGCATCTGTTAAACAAGTGCAAGGCCCAGAGTTTGAATCCCAGTACTGCCCCCCCCCAAATACTATAGAAGTGATGCTGTGTTCTTGGTGCATTGTATCAAGGATGTTAAAGAGCTGACCCATGCCTGCAATCCTAGCTACTCAAGAGGCAGAGATCAGGAGGATCACAATTCAAAGCGAGCCCCAGGCAAATAGTTTGGGAGACCCTACTTCAAGAAAACCCACCACAAAAAAAGGGCTGGCAGAGTGGTTCAAGCAGTAGGGTGCCTGCCTAGCAAGTGTGAGGTCCTGAGTTCAGACCCCAGTACTGCCAAAAAAAATAAGTTCAAGCTCAGGTACATTTTTTGGAGTTTTGATAATTGATAGAGTACAGCAAAGGACCTTACTTGGTTAAGGGAGCACCATGGGCAGAGTTAGGGGTAGGGTGGGGATGGACCATGGTCACTATTATGTGTTCAAAGAACAGAGACATCCATGTCCATAGGAATTGTTTTGCTAAATAGGAATTGTTTTTGTTCAGTCAATTAGGAAAATACTCCTGAGAGAAACTACCTTAATTCTGTCTTTCCTGTTTACAATCTTAGAATAGAACATTTGGATTCAGAGGATCTGGCCAGATTTCCGGAAGTGGTATTCGGGTACCTTTCACCAGCCATGATTGTCATCAGCACACCAAACTGTGAATTCAACCCCCTGTTTCCCACAGTGACTCTGAGAGATGCAGATCATAAATTTGAGTGGAATAGAATGGAGTTTCAAACCTGGTAAGTTAGGAAGGGGGTTCGTTTGTTTCTTGGGAATCCCACTGCAGTTTAAAAGTCTTAGGAAGTAAGCCTTACTTAAGTGTCTAATCTGAATTGTTCCTTACATTACACAAATAAAATCCTAGTGTGTAACTTACCATGTAATAAGATCAAAAGGGATCCACCACATCTGGACTGTGGAAAAGGATGCATGAAGGCACCGGTAGTGTTGGTGTGTAAGTGAGGAGTTAAGTATGGAGGGGCTGAGCCTCATGCCACACCCCAGGCAGCCCCTTGGTCTTGCTCACATTTTTGGGTATACCTGCAAACCAAAATAGGTCGGTAGGACTATAGCCTTTGGGATCTCCTTGTCTACCCCTCCTCCCTGCCTGCCCTGTAATTTAAATTTTCTCTTCCATATTCTCACGGTAACTTGGAAACTGGTACTTGTCACTGCCTCTGCTCCTCCTCAGAAATCAAGCAGTCCCTGTGATGTAGCAGTATGTGCCATAAGGACAGAAGTAAATTTTTTTTTTTTTTTTTGAGACAGGATCTTGCTGTGTAGCTCAGGCTGTCCTTGAACTCACAGTCTTCCTGCTTCAGCCTCCCAGGTGCTGAGATTATAAATGCAACACTTCACCTGGTTTAGAAGTTATTTTAATTTAGTATATTTTCTAGTTTCTACTATACTACTGACTGCAGTTTATTTGACAGTGGTTTCTTTTTTGGTAAATTATTTAGCACTAGCTCTGTGTTTAGAAAAACTTCTTTGTTATTTTGACTTCAGGGCTTTACAAGTGGCTGACCGCTACAATTATTGCGTGGAGTTTACAGGAGTTGGGAAGCCACCTGCGGGAGCCGAACACGTTGGGTTCTGCACCCAGATAGGTGTCTTCCAGAAAAACACTGGGAAAGCCACACAATCTTGTGTTTCAAAGCCATTCGACCACCATGTTTATAAAGCTGTGAGTATTCCTGGTGAGGCAGCTGTGGGGGAGAGAAGGACGTTGGTTGGGATGATGAATTTGTTTTTATTTGGTAAGAATCTCCAAAGTAAAGATGAGGGTAGTTGACCTGATTTTGAAGTACGCCCTAGAAAGATCCTCAGGCCTCGTGACTACTGGCAGAGCTGGTCTATGGCCTCCTTTGAGACCAGCCGACTTCTTGGCATTTCTCAAGACATGCGACAGAAAACAGTCTGCTGGCAGTTGGCTTAGAAATCTTGAAAGTGTACTTCTCATGTGTCCTCTCAGGATTAGCAGCAGTAAAGAGAAAACCAGCAGTGGCTTCTCTCCAGGAAATGACTATTAGAACTGAGCCTCTGGGCTGGGAATGTAGTTCAGGGGTAGAGCACTTTCCTAGCATGCACCAGGCCCTGGCTCCCATCCCCTGCACAAACACAAAAACAACTGATCTTCCAAGACACACAGACTTCCCTGAACCATTTCTTTCCTTTGGTCGGGGTCTTACTGTGTTGTCCACATAGCCTTGGACTCTTGGGTCAGCAGTCTTCCTGCCTTAGCCTCTGGAGTAGCTGGGGCTACAGGCATGAGCCATCATTCCCAGCTTGAACCATTTTCCTTCTTTCACCCTTTTTCTTGTAAAATCAAGTGGAAATGTTGGGGTAGTGTGAATTGTAGAAACCTTGCTGGAAGGCATGGAGCATTAGGATTGCAGAGCAAAGCAAGTGGCTAAAGTCAGGTGTGAGAAATTCGACTCCCATTGCAATTGATTCGAATCTGAGTTCTTTCCAACATGTATGTGTAGTTGACTGAAGGGGGCTGAGAGTTACTGATGGCTTTCAAATTTTTCTATACCCTGCATGTCTGGTTTTCTTCCGTCCAGGTTTATACGACCTCCTACCCGAGTTTGCAGCAGGAAAGGATGCTCAAATTTGTACTGGTCGGGGAAGTGTTGATACAAGTGGAACGTCTGAGACTGAGACATGGGCGGATGCTTCGAGAACAGAAGAGGGAAGCAGATACTAAGCCAGATTCCTCCGAGTCCTCCCCAGACCCCCACCTAGTATTGGGAGCAGTCTTCACAGAGGCCGAAAAAGACAGGATAGAGAATTCTCCCAAACCCTTCTGTGAAGGAGATAAGTTTTTTGTGCCCCTAAAAAGACTCCTTGCGTATCCCAAACTGCTCCGCTTTCAGGTGGATGAGGACAAGATGAGGGCTCTCATTTCTGAGTCGGTGTGTTTGAGCAGTGATGGTTCTGCAGTCGTGGTCAACCTGCATAATTCCTGGGATTATCGGCCCGAAGATAACTGAGCCATCCACGCTTCCTGAAGTTAAAGGTCTCACTTGGAGTTTAAACTTTGGACGGTCCTAATTCAAGGATCACTTAGAAAGCTTTATATGGATGTCAGGTCCTAAAATGCTGGACAGGTGCCTGACCTAGAGCCAGACTGCTCTTTACCTGAGAAAGGTGTTAGGGTTTAACTAAAAGTATATTTCTTTTCTTTTCTTTTTTTTTGGGTGTGTGTGTGTGTGTGTGTGTTTTCTTTTTAAATGAGAATTTTTTTTTTGATGTTTTCTCAAGAATGAAGAAGTTGGATGTGGTAGTGTGTTAATTTTGAACTTAACCATTTTTCAGTGTTAGAGCTTTGTGTTAAATGTGACATTAAAAAACAAAAAAGTGACCAAATACACTGTTGAACACCTTTTGTCAGGGTCTGTGAGTAGCTGTAAAATCTTTCTCAGGTCCTCCTGTGTGCCACACTCTTACCTATCATACTAAGGCTAACACATCATACAAAAAGAGGAATGCAGGTGTTTGAAGGGCACAGAAGTCTTTTCCTGTCCATATTTCTTCTTTTTCCTTGTGGTGCTGGAGACCAAACTTGGGGTCTTGTGCATGCTAAGCAAGTGCTCTACCACCAGGCTACAATCCCAGCCATGCATGTGCTTTTGTATTTGAGTCAGGTCCTTGCTGTGGAGCCCAGGCTAACCTGTAACTAGCTATCTTCCTGTCTCAGAAAGATAGATGAGGAAGATCCCTGGGCACTGAGATTATAGGCATGTGCAACCATACCTGGCCAAGTCTGCTTTTGAGAACCATCTCCAGGAGCTTCCTGGTTGGAATTAGAGTAGTAATAGTAGGTAATAGGAGAGAAAAATACAGCGTTCTTTAAATGGGGGAGAAACATTGAAATTAGCCATTCTTTTCTGAGGCCTAAGAGTCCAGAGGTAAGCCAACCAGGCATGCCTGTTCTGTCACCTTTGAGACCCTGCCATCTGTCTTGTTTGTTGTGGCTTAGTTTGCCACCTCAGGGGCAGAGCTGCAGGAATGGCCTCCAGTGACCACTCACATATTCCATGGCAGCAGAAAGCAAGAGAAGAAAAGGGAGAAGTGGCACGTGCCCACTGCCTGGCATGGTTTGCTACAAGCTCGTTAGGCAACACCACCACTTCCTGTTGACCCAAATGAAGTCTTAAGGCCTAATTTAGTAAAGGAAGCTAAGAAGTGCAGTCTGTATTCTGGGAAGTCATGGGCCCACTTGGTGGTCTTCCATGGAACCAGAGGAGAGTGGATTGTGCCTGTGCCACACGTGGAATATCCTGACTACCCTGAGCTGTGCCCTGGAGTTGGTCTCTGTGCAAGACCTCCTGCGGGCAGGCATCCTCAAGCTGAGGTTTGAAGGATTAATAATTGGAAAGTGGATTTGGTGAGGGTGGGGGAGAAAAAAAGGATTCTGGAGAAGTCTTAATCACAGCCCACTGCTAGCCAGCTGTTTTTTCCTTAAACCTTAGATCTTAACTAATGACATCCTTAAACCAGCTGGTTTTACAGGATGTGCCATCAGGCCTCTATGTACCTACACGGATACTGCAACTTGCACACAAAGGTGCACATGATCTAGAGATTTGCATCTTAGTGGTGCTGGGGTTTGAACCCAGGGCCTTGTGCTTGCTAGGCAGGTGCTCTACCACTTGAGCCACTTCCCCAGCCCAGCCTTCGTTATATCTTTCCAAAGGTAACCCATTTTGTTGAAGCCTAATCACTTGATTTCCTACCCAGAAAACTTAAGTGCTCATGACTACCATGGGGGCTGGAACTGCTCTTTCTTTCATAGCTCTACCACTGAGCTACGGCCTCCAGTCCTAAAACTCTACCAGTTAAAAACTACTAGAGGTATGGCTCAAGCAGTAGAGTGCATGCCTAGGAAGCATGAAGCCCTGAGTTCAAATCCCAGTCCCACCAAAAGAAATTGATAAAAACTACACATTAGGGCTGGGAATGGAGCTCAGTGGCAGGGTGCTTACCTTGCACACTTAAGGCCCTTGGTTTAATCCCCAGCACCACAAAAACAAAAATCCTATAAACTGTTTTTTCCTGTAATCTGAAAACTTAAATTACAAAAGCAAAAGACAGTAATTCAGAACTACATAGAATTTAAAATAAACTTCATAATATCTTAAGTTTTTTTTTTTTTTAACCCTTAATACCCACCCTCCCATCACCTCTTGGGGACTCCTGGCCTCTCTAGTTGACAGCTTTCCTGGGAGAATAACCCTGTCCGCCATTTCCTGTAGAATCGCAGTTGGGAAAGTGTCCTTTTCGATACTATCAGCTTCTCATGAATGGTATTTACTATGTATTGATGCAACGTTATCATTAGTGTTATTTTATAAGTGCTTCTGTATGTACTCCTTTTTTATTGGTACTTGGGTTTGAACTTGGGGCCTACACCTTCCGTCATTCCACCAGCCCTTTTTTGTGATTTTTTTTTAAAAATTATTTTTTAAATAAATTTTTATTAAGATATATTCATGATACGGGGGGAGGTTCATAGTGACAATTCCAATTAGACTTACATTGTACATTAGTTACACTGCCCCTTATCTCTCCCTCTCAGCCCCCTCCCCACACCTCTTAAGGAAATTGCAAGAGGTTTTTTAGTTCTGTTTCATATGGGTATATGAAGTCCATCTACCATATACCGTCACCTTAATCTCCTTCCTTCACCTCCCTCCTCCTGCAAGTACCCCCCCACACACACACTCTGCCTATTTTACAGGCCTGGTTTTCATAATATTTGAGTTGACTCTGGTTCAGAGGAGTGATCAATGTATGCCTCTGTGGGCGTGCTTTACTTTGGTCTGTTTAATCCCTTGAATACTCTCCCTTACCCTTTCACCTCCCATCCCCCTCCCCGTTTTTCAGTATCTTTCAATACATATCCTTATATCCTCTACCTTCACATCTTGTGGTGTGTGTTACTGATGCTCTATCATTCTCTTTGCCTTTTCCTCTTTCCCTGAGTTCCATAGAGTAAATACACTGTTACAAACATGTTCTACATCTGAGTTTGTGTATGATTGTTTTTGTGTATATGTTTATCTTTAGATCGAGCTTCCTGGTATGAGAGAAAACATGCAGGTTTTGTGTTTCTGATCCTGGCTAACTTCACGTAACATGATGTCCTCCAATTGTATCTATTTACCTTCAAACCCCATGTCATTATTCCTTGTGGCTGAGTAATATTCAGCATGGATATATATCATAATTTCATGATCCATTCATGTGATGGGTTTTTTTCGAGAAAGGATCTCACAAATCATTTGTCCGGGCTGGCTTTGAACTGTGACCCTCCTGATCTCTGCCTCCTGAGTAGCTAGGATTACAGGCGTGAGCCTCCTGTGCCTGGCTACTCCATTCTTTTATTGATTACACGTTTTTACAAAACAATACTAACACATAGCTTGTGCCAAAAACCTCAACTGCTTATCAGGATAGAAATTAAATATCCCTCAACAGTCCCCCTCTGACTTCCTAGAGACAGCTGTCAAACATTTTTGTTTCTTCCCAATTCACTACAAATGGATTCCAGTTTTGCAAGAACTAGTGGCCCTTTTGGGGACAGGTGGTTCCTTTCTTGCTAGGAAAGTCACTTGAATGGGCCATGTAGTTTATGAGGCAGAGGCCCCAAGTGCAGCAACTTGTCTTTCCTTGGAGGAATTAAATTGCACTGAATGGCAGTGCAGAACATGGTTCTGAGGAGGCAGGATTTTAGCTGAGATTTTTCTTTGTGACAAGGTTTTCATTGCCACCTGGTACTACCCAGGTTCCCCCAACTAGATGTAGAAAATGTTACCAGGTATTATCTCCCAACTATTTCCTATAGGTGGCACTCAAACGTAGCTTCTGTGAGTGTGACAAACACCTGAGATAATTATAGAGAAAAGATTTTGGCTTATAGTCTTGGAGGTTCATCAATGACCAGCTGGCCCTGTTGTTTTGGGCCTGTGGCAAGGCAGTACATCATGGTGGAAGCTCATGACAGATAAAACCACTCTCCTCATGGCCAAGGTGCAAAAGAGACAGAGGAAGGAGCTGTGCTCTGGATCCCTGATATGTTCTTTGAAGGCACTCCCCCAATGACCTAAAAACCTCCTGCTAGCCCCTTCTTCTAAAGGTTCTGCCACTTCCCACTAGTGCCACTCTGGAGACCAAACCTTTACACATGGGCCTTAGAGAACACTTGAGATCAAGATGGCGGCAAAAAAACTCTTTTAAAGATTTCTGTGATTTCCCAGAAGTTTAAGTCTTCAGCTCCTCCTTGCATTCAAGTTCAGTTTCTATACCACTGAGCTGTGGCACTTGGCCCCTTCAGTGCTGCCACAAGACTTCCCAGACACATATCCCCATTTCCTCACACAGCATACAGCTTGCATCCTTCCCTAACTCTTCTTGTTCCTCCCCCACCTTTTCTCTTCCTTGTTTCTCTGATTTCTAACCTTCCCCTGTACAACATCCCCAGCCTTCCATCTGTCAGTGATTACCAAGGAGTACTTTTAATTAAGCCAATTCCCTCCATTGGAGTTTGGGTCCCATCAACAAAGCCCATCTCACTGGGACCTGTGGAGACTGTGCTGAGCAGCTGGCAAGAAGTCAGGAGCTGAGCACCATCAGCAGTGGCAATGTGGAATCTTCACACTTTACAAGACACTTTATTTTGGCGGAACTGGGACTTGAACTCAGGACTTAAGCACTTGCAAAGCAGGAGCTCTACCACTTGAGCCACACCACCAGTCCATTTTTTTTGTGGAATCTTTTGAATTCTGAGAATAATGGATATTTGCCTTGTGGAGGATTCTAGGTGTTAACTACAGCAAACTTGGTTTATCAGTGTATTTGATGCACATCTTCGGGAATAGCAAAAAAAAAGTGTGTGTGGGGACATCTGGGAATATTGTTGGCATCTAGCAAACAAGCTGGAAGGAGCTGGAAGATATGGGAATTTGTACAGTAAGTTTTAAAGACTAGTTTTTGAGCCAGGTGTGGTAGTACATGTCTGTAATCCCAGCACTAGGGAGGCATAGGCAGGAGGGTCACAAGTTCAAGGCTAGCCTGGGATACATAATGAGACCCTGTCTCAAGAAACAAAAGCCTACTTTTCAAAGCCTCATGTGCCAGTTATACACCATTTTTGCCCTAAAATGAACTCTCCATGCCCTCAATCCACCTATTTCTGGGG